CACACATTTTTTTATAAAAAAATTTTTTTATTTAATCCAATTTTTTTTTCATTTTTTACTACAATTTTAAAAAAAACATCATTTTAAAAAAATATTTTCTCCAAAAAAAAAAAAAAAGGAGCTCAAACAAGGCCTTTAAGTTGTCATATATATGCAACTTCAAGAATTGAATGGTTTCTTGGAGGTAAATACCAAGTTTACTTCTTTATGTATCTTGTTTATGTCCACAAAATTCGTTATCTGCTTTTGAAAAAGAAAAATGATTCAACTTTCTGAGTTTTATCAAAAGATTTCTCAACAATAAATCTCTTGACACTTGATAATCAGCTTGAAAAACTTATAAAAATATATGTTCTCTAACAAAATGTTTAAGGATTGAATGGCCTTAGTATTCTCATAGATAAGTTAGTTATGACAAAAAAAAAAAATGGTAGATTATATCCATTGATTTACAAGCTTTTGACTTTGGCACTAAATCTTCTGGTTGTTTATGCTACGGTAGACACAATATTTTTTTACAATGTACGTTGTAAAAGAATGGATTGCGCAGCCCATTATAGATTAGATGATGAATGATGGCCTCATTGTTTATGTTGAGAAAGATATATTTTTAAGGTTGATAATGAGTCATTGTACAAAGATACCAAAGTATGAAATCGCAATGAATAATTGTAAGGTATTTCCTCTTTAATATTATTGTTATTACATTGTTTTTATATTTTTTCCTTTACCCGTGCTGGTAGTGGAAGATAACATGCACAGCGGTATGAATAAACTGTTCATGATAATTGTTTTCTGTATTATTTATATTGTCATACTAATATTTAATGTACATAATAACAACTCATGTCAATGATCATCTTCTGTTGGTGAAAACAAAGAATAATGCTATTATACCATCAGTGGGCCCCTTGATTCATTGCCTAGGACAGTGACAGTAAATGAGGAGGTCAACTACCACCTTGGTTATGATCACTATTGATATGAATAGCATTACTTGAAAACAGTTAGCGTCCTAAAATGGAAAGTTCCGATTTCAAATAAGTTGATAGTAAGGATTTGTGTTAACAACACAATTCAAATGATAAACGTGTAATCCACTCTAACAGCCTCAACTGTTTCATTAAGTAATTCAGCACCATTTGATTAGATACTTCAGTGATGAGCATTTGTTCTGGTCATAATTGGTCCTATCTTTACCAACAACCTTGTTCTTGGGCCACAGTGGGTATAAGCTGCCTTAGTAAGCTTTACGTTGGCAACTGGTAGAAGTAGTAGTAGAACCAACCTCGTTTCTTTGAAAATCAGATGCTGTTTTAGCTGATTTCTCAAAATCATTTTGGATTCTCTTAAAGAACACAAAAGATGATAGTGGTTGAGTTTTCAAGTAACCCCCTTAAGATCAACCACCTATCCAACCAAGAAAAGGCTTCCCAGTTGGAATTGGACTCCTTGTAAGCGCGGTGTACAAGCAGCTCTTATTCCCTGACCTGTTGGGGCACATCTCGCGATTTACCTCCTTCACAAAGCCCTAGAAACGAGGTAGTGGGGCCCCTCAAGGTTGGGGTTCAACCTTAAGAAAAGGCTTCCCAGTGCTATTTGTGGGGTTCCACCAATATAAATTACAACGAAGTGTAGGATATATTAAGCATATTTAAATACTAGCTTGATTTGATATATTAAGCATATTTAAAAGCTTAATTCAATCAATCTACTTCTGCACTTGTATTTTGCCAACATAAATTCAGGTTTCTTGTAGCTATAACATAACTTTCTCTTGGACATTTGTTAAGTTCATTGATTATGCTTTCTCTCAGAATAGTCTTTCATTCTGTTTTGGGAAGTGAGTGACTGAAGCGGGAGAAGCAGGGCACATGCCATTTTACTGAAAACTTGATCTAAGAATTTGGCATGTACCCGGTATCTCTAGCTATGGCCTTCTCCCATGGAAAGACTGGCACCAGCGAAGACAGCGCAAGTATTTCTAGAGGCAATAGAGAGTTACAAGTAAGCTTCACAGATATTAGTATGCACGCCAATCATTCAAAGTTCAAACAAGTATTTCATCAATGAGAGTATATCTCCATTTATGCTTCTGTTCCAGGTATTTACAGGTTGGTGACTTTTAAGGACTTCATTCTTCTTATATACACAAACTTTATTCATAGATACATTATCTATGAATGTGATAGCCCACTTATGAAGTGAAATAGATTAAGGTGGTCATGAAATACAAAGCAAGAAAATGAATAAATTATAATTTAGATAGTAACACATACCATTCCATTCTTTTCGAATAACTTACAATCAGACCAGCTTTCTATTTCCTAATGCTAATGCTGCTGAATCCACATGAGTGAGCAAGCAAGCATAAACTTTTTGCTTTAAGCTATCAACAGTCTCCAGCAAACCATTTTTCTCTGAGCTCAACTTGCTTCTCAGTTTATCTAACCATTCATTTGCCTGCTTCAGCTGTGATAATGCGGTAGCAATGTGGTTGTTTGGTTCCAGAAAACGTGCAAAGCTTTCCTTCCCTTTATTTTCCTGATAATTTAGCCGGAAGCCAGCATCAAGTGCTCTGTCCAAGAATTTGAGAAACCAGGATTGTGATTCATGTAGAAGAATCTTCTTAAGTTCTTTAATTTCTGTGGAACCACCTCCCTTTGACCATTCTAATTTATCAGCCCCGCTAAGCTCTATTGAGGACCTTGGAGTTCTTGTCATACTGCTGCCCTGTAAGGAACCTGATTTTCTGTTGTATTTGTCTTTATCTTCCAATGATAAATTCGTTGAGAAATTATGTGATACATCCTTTGTTATAATTGTAACATCTTCTTTTTCAATAAGTTGGTAGAGTGTAAAGAACTTGTTAAGGTAGATATGGGGGTTTTCTGGCGAGGCAGATGAGCAAAGATAGGAAAACATGCTGAAAAACCAAAAAAAAAGGAAGATGACAAGAAAATTTAATCGTTCAAATCCAACTCTTTTAGCGTGTAGTCAAGAGTAATAAATATGTTGCTCAAACATGTATGATGAACAGATGACATTTTTAAATCAACCTCTGAATTACCTGAGGCACTTGACAAGATTTTCTGCTGCAATTGCTTC